TTGTTTTAGAATCTTTTAAACGTGATATTCGTCATCAGGAGCTCAAGTTGTACTAGTCCTGTTACTCTCGAACAATCCGGATAAAGTCGGTGTAAAGCCTGGTACGCTCTCGAAAGAATCACCCTTAACGAAGTATGTCTTGTTTCTAGAGTACCATTTTCACCTTCTCAAAGTGGTTTGAAATCAAAATGATCGGTCACTTGAGAAAATATGTGTACATTTGTTGTAGGGTTTCAATGTATAGTTAATTTATAAGAATTAGTTTTAATATACAATTGCAGCATTGCGCGCATAGCATTCTTCTAACACTAAATTACAAGCTTCACACATTTTCTGCTCGTATCATATGTCATGAAATTTATTAAACTAATTACTTGTTCATAGTCTAATTAATTCTTTTTGATACTTTCACAAAAATAAAAACTACAAAGGATATCTTTGACTTGGAAAAACCTTCTCTTACGTAAAGCCTGTGAATAAATTGAACTCACGTTTTGAATGTTTATGTAAGAAACAGTTCTCATTCAATTCGAGATTATGTTATTCCTTCGGACATTGTTATCTAAAGAACTTTTCTTCTACGGCTGAAAGTTACTCTTGACGAGATGTTCTTACATATAGACGCGAACAAAAGCTTCTATTTCTCGTCGACATATTGGACATATGCGTAGTAACTGACCGCACGCCACACACGTTACCAAATGACCACAGGGAATGCAAGCAAGACGTTTTTCCTCCTTTAAACACGACACACAAGCATCGGACAGCTTCGGTATTGGTTTATTCTCTTCTAAAAGTAAATGAGATCATTTTTCTCTGTGTTTTTTTTAAAATATTTTTGCCTACTATTTTTGGCAACAATATCAACCACTGTTGAAGTGATCATTTCTTCACTCTCATCTTGTTCCATCGTTAAATGTGTTTGATCTATTATCGCTTCTAAAGTAAAATATTTAGATTTTAGGAAGGACAACGAGATTGATCAAGAACTTACCGCGTCTAGTTTTCGCCGTTACTTCTTGTAAGTGCTTTGATGGAATGATAATATTTTCTTTTTTGCCGTCGATAACTTCAATTTGTTTTTGGAGAATCAAACATGCCATATACAGATCGCTGTCGCTCACAAAATCATCAACTAAACAACAGATAAATTAATATAAGAAGAGGATGTACATTTAACATACGCATTAATCTCAGTTGATCTTCGTAACACCGTTTAATTATAGATAATCTAAATTTGTGTAGCAGTCGTTGAGATACCGGTAAATCGAGTCTCGCAGCTACAAATCTTGATAACATGCTCTCATCTGGTATTGATAACAGATTCGATGAGAAATTATTTAGAACAGTTGAGTTTACACTTGATAGGGAGAATGAGACTTTCATCGGTATTTGTTGTTCCTGAGAATTTGTTGAACGACCTGAATGAACACGGATCCAGTATAGAAGAAAACTAACAGAGATGCTAGTGTACCTTGCTGACTAATCCGTTTTGACTGCTGAATTTTCTGATACAAATCATCCCCACACAACTGCCTTATATAGCGACACTGTGAAAACCATCGAACGTGTTCAATCATTGGATTATCTTTTTCTGACCAGTTCTGAAGCGATCCATTGCAATAAAAGCAAGTGACAATCGTTTTCGAGCCAGAATAAAAGAATCCAGCTCGAACAAGATTATCCACAGATGGTAATGGGATATCTTGTGGCCACGTTGCGTACGAAGCCTGCCGTTTTGGTATTTCAACAAACTGCTGATTACACGCCTGAGTGAGAACAATCTCTATGTTTGTAGATACATTAGGTGTCTCGTTGAGAATGGCACGTGTCGATGAAATTGTAGAGACCAGATTTGACTTGACAAAGATACAATCGGGAGAGAGCAACTTATGTATCTCGCTTGGATCATCAGTGGGTATCCATTGTTCGCAGATCAGATTGCAATAAATGCAAATCACTCGATCTCCAACGTTGCAGTTGAAAAAGCCGCTCTCGATCATTTGTGATCGAGCAGGCGATTTCGATCGCCAGTGAGAATAAGTTTGTTTTCTAGTTTGATTCATGACGGGTAACTCTCGAAATATACGAAGCGCCAGAATTCCAGTTGGTGGCAATTTTCGACTATTTTTTGTGTCATCTTCATACTCCTGTTTCCGTTTGACGATTCGCTTTGTCATTTGGTCTTGGAGTATTTCAGTCTCAGTCGATGTTTCTTCTTTTGTTATTAAATTCTGTTTCATGTTCTCGATCAATTTACCGTACGTCTTATAATAGACATCGCTTGTTTGATTTAAATTTTTTAGCTCAAGTGATTTATCATGTGAGACAAGGTAAGAAATATCCGTCGAAGCCATTGATTATTTGTTTAAACTACGAAAAGACACAAAGATAAAAATTGAAAAACTTGTTTTGAATTTTTACTTGGAAAGATAAAGATAAACTATGAATTAATTTCTGATGAGATATTTAATTCGGAACTCAATTAAAGTGCAAGGTATATATTGTAACAGTCAGTGTTAAAGATATTAAAAACTTTCCTGCAGCGAGATGAAGAAAATTGAAATGCTATAGGTTAACTATAAAATAACTTACACTGTCAATAAGGAGACTCCTATATCTTGATCGGGATATAAGACACAAAATTTTGTCGTAAAAACAATTAAGGGAAAAACGACGACGTTATGGCAAAAGTAGACCTCACCATTAGAAATAGCTTGAAGAACTACATCGGATCCTGTTGTGTTTGATTGAAAGTCTGTGAAGTACCCGGCAATTGCTACTATTTTTTCGAACAAAAGCTTTTAACAAATTTTAGTCGAATTTTACATCGCAATCGGAAAATAGGAGCTTAACAATTTATTGCTCAGAATGGAATATACTTAATCTAATCGCTTTCCACGCCGACCGCCTTTTTTATTTCTTCCTTTTCGATACGCACATATATTGAAACACACGTGTCTTTTCTGATGCATAGACAATATATATATATATACGTACAGGTGCTTTGTGTTTTACGGGGAAGTTTCCATCTATTCATTCGAGCTGAACAACTGCCTTCATATGAGTTTTTTTCTGTCAGAATATAAGCGAAAAAATATTTCATTATACTATTCTAAACTAAAAACATCGAAAAAGACAAAAGCGACTTTGTTCGAATAGAGATTCGAACACTTAAACTAAGTTTTGCAGTAAACTGCAAAATTAGGTCCACAGTTCTGTATTTATATTCTGTACAACGATTGAAATTGTGCAATCGACTCGATGTTACCAGTAGTCATTTTTGTGGTATGTTTTGTGGTATGTTTTGTGGTATGTTTTGTGTGTTCTGTTTTCGCTTGTATTCTGTCAGAATGATAGCCCTGTTTATATTGATAACTAAGTCCAAGCGTGTTTCGTAGTAGTTTATTTCGAATCTGAATTGTTAACTCCCACGGAATCGAGAGCTTATATAGTGTGGATAGGGCGTAACTATTATGCA